AAGTTGCGCGGGCGAAAGCGGGTTTTCCCGTTTTTTTTTTTCTTTTTTTCTTTTCTTTTTTGATTGATTGATTGATTGATTGATTTATTGGTAGGGGATGGGTCGCCCCTCCACCCCCCACCCAGACCCATCCCCTACCAATCAATCAATGAATCAATCAATCAAAAAAGGAAAAAAAAAGTGGGAAAACCCGCTTTCGAACCCGGCTTTCGAAAGTGGGTTTTCTCGCTTTTTTTTTTCTTTTTTTTCTTTTTTTCTTTTTTGATTGATTGAATGATTGATTGATTGGTAGGGGATGGGTCGCAATCCCATCCCCCACCCAATCTCACACACACACACACATACATGAACACACACACACACATGAACACACACACACACAGAGGGTAATTGTTTTACTTTTTTTTGTTCCACACGTGTAGCGCCACGTGTCCGAGCCCCATTGGGCTCGACCCGTTGATCGGAACTCAACGGAAAACCCCCGTTATACCGTTCAACGGGGATTCAACGGCCCCCCCGGGGGTATTCAACGGGTACAACGGCATTGTACAAAACCCGTTGCGCGTTGAATGGACACACATACTATCCTGTCGTCGTCGACCGCTTCATGTCGTTCGCGAAGCGCACACGCGTTGTTCCGTGTCACTATGCCATCAGTGCACATGAGGTCGTCGACATCATGTTTGACCAAGTCGTGCGTGATCACGGTTTAACTATGAGCATCATATCTGACTGTGACTTGCGCTTTACCAGTCGATTCTGGCAACGACTCCACGAGGTGTATGACACCCAACTCCGATTTTCCTCGTCTTACCATCCCCGGACTGATGGTCAGACCGAGGTCACGAACAAGACTCTCAGAGATGTTCTCCGAAAGATTGTTCGTGATGACCAGCAGTGGGATCTCATCTTATCCACGTGGAGATAGCCTACAACCATGCCGTCTCGCTAGCCACGAGGATGTCGCCTTACTATTGCGACCTCGGCTATACCCTCGTGTTCCCGCGGACTTTCTTCGACCGTCACAGTGTTGGATGATTGGGTTGCACACATGACGTCGATCATGAAGACCGTGCATGAGCACATAGCCGCTTCCCAGACTCGCATGGCCGCACATGCAAACCGATGGAGGATGAATCATCTATTCAAAGTCGGTGATGATGTGCTTGTTGACGCCTGCCACTTACAACTTGAAGCGGACATGCTTCGCAAGTTTCGACATTGCTTCCTTGACCCATGCCGCATTCTCCAGGCCGTGGGTTCTGATATGGCATCGAGCCCGGTCAGCTTCCGTGTGAAGCTGCCCGACTACCTACGCCAGACTCGTGTGCACGATGTCTACCACATCTCGTTACTGCGTCCTTACGATAGACCGTTTGAGCGTTTCGCTGGACGACCATACGAGCGCCCTCCACCCAGCATGGTGGACGGCTACGAGGAGTTCCTCGTTTCAAACCATCACGTTAAGTATCTCGTACGTTGGAATGGTTACCCTGATGAGGAGGTTACTTGGGAGCCCCTCGAGCACTTGCAGGCTGTTGTAGCATGCTCGCATGTTGGTGAGTGCCTATGACCGTGCTCGTCGTGCTTGGTTGACTGTTCCTTCTCAACCCACTGACCCTCCTCCTTCTCCCTCGACTGAGGGCACCGTTGAAGTCAAACTGCTGCAACTGAGGAAGACCTTCAGCAGCAGCCGGATGCTTCTGAGCGTCCACAGTGCACTCGTCGTCGTCCTTCTCAATATGACCATTGACTCTGACTTATCTTCCCACGTCTTTGACTTCTCAATACTCCATCCACTCCAGTTTTGCTCCTTCAGCTCGTCGACATTGCGACTCTTCCTTGACGGTGTTCCAGACTTCTCATTATGGACGTCATCGACAACTTCACGGACGTTGTCACGATCAACTCTGTCTACTTTAGACGTCGTCACTCTCTTCCCACCTTACCCTGTACAGTACCCTAGTTGTGTCGCATGATGGTCTCCCTTAGGCGGGTTCCTCTAACTTGGGCTCTCCCTTGGTATACGCATAGGCATCGGGACCGTAGCGTTGCCCTGCCTTCCCAACTTATGGATCTAGCTCCGACTTCCCTCACTTTAGGAGTCATTTGCATGATTCCCTTATCCATCACTTTTTTTATCCTCTGTCGACCCTCCTGCCCTAGTTAGGCAGCCTTGCATGCTTCATCTAGGTACGCCCTGTATTGCACGCTGGCCGCGGCTGGGTTCGGCCAAGGCCGGGACCCCCCCGGCCTAGACCGGTCCGGCCGAGTTTTTTCGGCCTTGGCCTCGACCGATCTGGGGGGTGGTTTTCGAAGCGGAGAGCGGGTTTGGGATGGGGGGGTGGGGGGGCACCCCCTCAAAGTGATAGGGCGTCAAAAAAATGAAAAACGGGGGGGTCCTGCACATGGCCCTGAAAGGGTGGGCCGCGAAAATTCGTGCGTCCCCCGCGTGCGGGTTCTTTGATGCGGGGTCGCTGGGGAGAGGGGCTGGAACACTAGAAAAAAAAATAAAAAAAATTGACCCCTGCGGGGGCGGCCCAACGTGGGTTGGATGAGGGCCTGCTTGGGGCGGCCCGTACGGCCAGGTCGGGTCGAAGCTGGACGGGGCTGCAGATGGCAGACCCCACGCGGATCAGGGCCTCAGGCACTGAAAGGCAAGCGTCGGTTTCATTCGTGAGGGTGATGACAGTTCGTGACATATTTTGAAACAACACATTCATGGCAATCATAAGTCAGACCCTTGTTGGCATACCAAAGTCGAAACACATTCAAAATCAATCAGAGTGCGGTGAACCATAAGTTTCAAACAATGTTAACAGGCAAGTGTGTCATAGTGTGTGTTCACTCATCAGACTGGTGGACATTTTTTTATGAACACATTCATTAGCACATCCTCCCTATGTCGCATCTGAAATTAACAGCACATTCATAATGGAGGCATCCATGACATGCAGGTGCGTGGCATCGGAGAAGCACATAATTTGCAACAATCACGACAACAAACCACAAACCACTAACGAAACAACAGCGACTCAGATGCAAGACCAATGTTGGTAGAGGAGCACGAACAAGAGCAAATATATGACAAAGCATTTCAATGGAAATGCGTATGTACGAGGCTGAAGCCAAAAACTGGACCTGTCGTCTCTACTATACAACCGAGTAGCAAAAAAAAATTGGACCCTATGTACAAGGCTGAAGCAAAAAACTGGACCCGTCGTCTATACTGTACAACCGAGCAAAAAAAAAAAAAAAAAAAAAAAAAAAACCAACATCCCAACAGAAAAAAAAAAAAAAAAAAAAAAAAAAAAAAACCTAATGTCCACATACTGTCGTCGACTCCATGGAACAACATCGACATAAATATGCAACAACCCTGCCTACAGAGCGTCTAGGCTGTACAGCCACGCAAAAAACCAAAAAAACTAATGAAAAAAAAAAAAAAAACCACGGACGTTGTCATCTCCCTCCAGAGCGCGCGTGGCCTCTCCCGGAGGACACGCGGCCATGCGGTCCTCCCCGGCGCCCTCCTCTCCCTCCGGCACCTGTGCCCCGTGTCCCGCTGAGGTATGCCGCCTGTGCTGCAGTGGCTGCCGCGGCCACCTGTGCCCTGTGTCTGCGGGCTGCAGTCTCGATCGGCTCGGACTCTGTGTCTGCGTCCTCGTCCTCCGCCGCCCGTGCAGCAATCCCCATCTCTCTCTCTCCCTCTGAATCGCGTCCAATTTTGCCTAGCCAGCGGCGACCCCTGCCGCGAGTCGAGCCTCAACCTCCGAGAGGCCATGCTGTCGTCTTGTCCCGGGACGCATCAACAACCCCTCCTCGCCCGATGTGAACTGCTCTCCCCGCAGCATGTCCGTGGATGTTCCTGCGGCCTCGAGGACCAATGATCTCCTCGTCTCCGCTCGTGGAAAACCGAGCATGCGGCCTGCCATCTGCAGGCTCGGACGTACGGACCCACCCTCCGCAGCCTGCGTCTGAACTGCTGTACGTCCCGTGAAGACGCCCCTCCCGGCGTCGTAATCCGCCCGCAACCGGTCCCCGACTCGACGAACAGCTGACCATCCGCCACCCACACCACCTCGGACTGTCGGCGGGTATCCGCCACTGTGCGCAACTCCGGGTGCCGCCGTCCGGTCCCCGGTGTCGACCCTGCCCTCCGGAGTCCGTGCGGGCGGTGGAGGCATCGATCCTGCACTATCTCTGCCGCCGTCGCTGCGTCTGTCGGACCCCACCTCACCCGCTCCGGACTCCCTCCCTCTCACGCCGTTGAGCGACGAACCCGACCAGTGAGGGCTCTCCACCACGAACGGCGGCGGTGAATATACCCTCCCAGGGGCCCGCCTCTTGCCGCTCTTGCGGCTCACGTGTGCGAAAGGGTCATCCGTCAACACTTGCGCCAAAGTGTCGACGTCGAAGAAAGTATGCGCTGTGTCGTCAGGGCGCAAGGGAGGTACTGTGGGGTCCCTCAACACGAAGGTGAGCCTATACACATCGTCCTCGGGACCGTGGTCGTCGTCATCATCTTTGTCCTCATCCTCGTCCCCACCGACACCCGCGGTATTCCCATCTCCACCGGGTCCACCCTCTCCTCTGCCACACACGGTGGCACCATGTCCCTCATCACCCGCGGTCTCGCTGTCGCCATGCCCCCCACTAGGGGACCCACCGACCACGACAACACCCTGCCCTTCATCACCCGCGGTCTCCTTGTCGCTACGTCGTCCATCACCTGACCCACCACCCGCGGCGGCATCCTGTCCCTCATCATCGAACTCCCTCTGAACTGCCTCCTCAGGGACACCCGAGGCGTCGATGTCACGGCCTCCCCCCCCTCCCGTTTCCATCTCCCTCTACCGACGCTGCTCGTCAAGATACGCGAACCGACCCTCCCATCGTGGCAAACTCCCCAACCGCTCCTCCTCCTCTCGGTCCAAACGGGCATCCCTCTCCTCCTCAGTCTCAACAAGGCCCCGCACAACGTCCGTGTCGGTGCGCACATGCGACGGTGAGGCACGTCGACGTCCCTCAACACTGAAATCTCCCAAGCTCCCACCAAGCCCTACGACGTCAAAGTCGTCTGTGCGGAGCACCGACGGCGAGTGGGGGCGGATACCGGCGTCGGAAGGAAGCCTCTCCCCCCCACGATCCTCGCCGTCATGTGTCCGGTCTCTGCCTGCTGCCGACGCCAACCTCTCCGAATGCCTAAGTGCCTCGGGCTGTACAGCGCTCCGATGATGGGAGGGAGAGAAGCGACGATCGTGAAGGTGTACCCACTCATCCTCGGCCTCCTCCTCGGCCTCGCTGTCGCTCCTAACCTCCCATCGCCTGCCTGTTTGCCGAAGACCTCCCCGTGGCTGCTGCTCCCCCGAGTCGTCGACGCCAACCTCCGCATGCGAACGTCCTCCACGACCTCCACCGGCTCTGCTGCTGCCACTCGCCTGTGCGGTCGACGGCGCACCACGCCGCTGAGTAGCGACCCGACGGCTGAGCCACGGTCACAGCTCCGTCGCCCTAATGCCGGATACGTCCCGAACCGAATGGGCTCTGGACGGTCGGCTATGCTGGAAAGCGACAATCTGTCGCTCGATCTCCACATCTAGAACACTGCTAGCAGGTCGTGCTCCCCACACCTCGGGCTCCACATCTCCGTCCTCATCCTCATCCTTTGTCGCCGTCCCCCCCCGACCGGTCCCCATAACCCATGGCAACACGTAGCCACCACCCTGCCGTGCGCACGAGGCCAGTTTAAGATTGGTGGCAATCTCAACCAGCTGTGCAAGCTTGGCAAACCCAAGCTTGCAGCGCCTCGCCGTGATGATGCGTTCGTGCTGCGCCCAGTTCCTCTCCGCTGGAGAGGACGTCCACAAGTGCATGACACGGATGGCGATGGTGCGCAACTCCGGGTGGGCACATCCATGCTCAAACCACCACACTGCACATCGCTCGGTCTCGCTGTCCCCCCTGCAATCCTCCGCCTCGGCATCGGAGAGGTCACCTCCCCAATCCCCTCGCCTCGAGTGGAACGCCCTCATCTGGTCCCTCATGGTCCTGTACAATCTGCCGACCGGATCGCCGCCGGTCTGCGCCAAGAGAAATCTGTCGCACTCCTCGATCACACGACGGTCGTCGGCGATCGTCTCTAACAAATGGTAATACGTGAGGGACCATCAACGAGGGTTGAGGAGGTGGGCCGCGACATGTGCGGGCTCTAGCATGTGGAGGTTGCGGATGGCAACCTCACGCACGCACGGCTCGATCATGTCCTCCGCCGGACCTCCGACACGTCCACCCTCCTCATCAACTGCAGCACATGCTGACTCCACTCGTAAACGACGGACATCATCATCCCCCCCCTTATCCATCCTGCGCAACAGCTGGTGGACGGGCGACATGACAAGGATGGCGTACTCGACACACCGCCAAAACTCCCCGTCCCGGATCTGCTGCTGCACCCACTGCACCTGAGATACATGCCTGCGCTCCCACGGGATGCGTGCCCAAGCATCCCCGTGCAACATGCTCTCCAACGCGTCTCGTTGGCCTTTGAGACACGTCAGCATCGGGAAAACCGATGCGAACCGTGTCTCAACGGGCTCGACGAGCCGAACGCGAGGGCTCACCTTCCTAGACAGTGCGTGAGTAGCACCGTGCGATTTAATAAATCGCACAAGCGCTCGAGCGCGGATGATGGTGTCCTTGACCCACCCCACTTGCGTCCCGATATCTGACAACATCAAATTGCAGACATGGGTGGAGCAGGGGAGCCAAGTGATCCTCCTTATGTCGGGTTCGGGGTCAGTGGCAAATCTGCGCGCTGCCGCCGTATAGTTACTGGCGGAGTCAGTGCAGAAGCCAATCACGTCCTTTGCAGGAAAGGACAAGATGATGGCCCGCCACCTATGGTACACGATGTCCGCGGTGTCTCGGACCGACCCGTCTCGTGCGACGGTGACGTATAGCAGGGCGCCATTGGCGCCCCCGGCGAGGAAGTTCACGAGCGGCTTGCCGCTGCGCGACTTCCTCCCGTCGGAGAGGATGGTGGCACCGCTGTGCCGGAAAGCGGCGCGCACCTCGCTCACCATCGTCGCCACCTTCGCCCTCTGCGAAGGGATACCGGCGCCCGCTGTGACCCTGAAGGAGGGAAACCCGAACTGGATACTGCGAGGCACTCTCTCCGCCGTCTGCCGCACCTTCTGGAACTCCGGACCACGGAAGGCGTTGAATGGAAACCCCTTCACGTAGATCCATTGCAGCCACGCATCTGTGAACTCCGCCAACTTCTCCTTGGCGTACATCTCGTCAGTCGTGGTCTGCCGAGCCCTCTTCTCCCTGCCTGTGTCTCGCACCTCGACGCCAGCCTCCCCCACTGTCCTCTTCTCCCTCCTCGCGCGATCCAACTCAGGTCGCGACACCCTAGGAGCGGGACCTGCTTGATCGACGCCTCTCGACGTCATCACCACCTCCTCCCCTGGCAGGTCAGGCTCTCCGACTCCCTCG